GGGTTGGAGAGGGCTCTTGCTTTTTCACTTTTCTGCACAGCACAGTTTCAGACGGTTAAACGCCGCTCTGATGCTGTTGGAAGTAGCTGCAGAAAAAGGAGACAAACTTAGCAGCCTCGGCAAAGTTCAGCTTTAATGACGCCCACAGGGACGTGAATGCATGTATCTGACCCGTTGGGTGGCACTAAAGGGGAGTCCGGAGAGAAGCCGGAGCTTTAAGGGCCTGAAGATCGGTCGAGACACCAGCAAGAGGACGTCTACATAAATATGCATATGTATGAGACACTGCAGGCCAAGGAGGCATTTTAAACTTTAAAAAAGTTTTTTTAAAAAGTCACAAATCCTCACCAAAATTGCTGCCATTTTCACACCAGCCAGCCAAAGAATTAATCAGCTAATTCGGCAGCTCCTGGGATTTTTCGGGTCGAACATCCTCCTGTTTTTATAGGACACTAAATCAGACTCATTAGTAAACTTTTAATATATTATTCCAGCTTTTTCCAAGTGCAAGAATCTGCAAAGTGACGTCAGACGAATGAATCCAAACCAGGCTACGGCGCTTTTCACAGTTTCCGTGACTTATCAGCAAGAATAGTTTGTCTTACATCAACATCTACTGCAAATTTATGCCTTCTTGGATGTTCTGAGTTGTGTTTTTTCAACTTTATTCACAAGAGTTTGTCGGCACGGAGGCTCCACATGTGCACAGAGAAGGAAGAAGAAAAGAAATCTGTTCTGCTGAAATGTATGTGATTCAAAGAAGCAGGTCCTCTGGCAGCAACTTCTTGTAATTGTGAAACATGACTAATATGTTTTTCCACTTAAATCATCACCACAAAGCTCTGCGTGTCCACTGCGAAGCCAGATCTGAATTCCATCCCATAGCAAAAACTATTTTGACTGTTTGCCAGCCAGATGTGAAACATTTCAGATGGTCTCCACTTAATAAAAAAGTCCATTTTCCAGCCTTTTTTTAAAACCATCTTTTCTCTTCAATGCAGCGGTACTCCCCTACAAAACCACCCAAATCATTCAGAGGTGTTTACGTAATCTGGGGGAAGTTCTTGTACGTTTCTAAAATTTATTTCAGAGATAAACTAAACATTGTGCAGCCCAGGTCCAAATCAACCCACAGTTCAAGCACACTGGCACCATGTAGATGTGTATATAACGTACAGGTGTAAGAACATGAATGCACAACAACACAACGCAGACTGCAGCTCTTGCACCATGCCCACTGCACTTCACCCCCCAGCATTTATGGCCTTTTCTGTTTTTTTATCATTTTTTCTTGTCGTTGCATCGTCTTGTTGGAGAGTCACTTCACCGCCCACGCTGTACAAGAGGAACAAAAACTTCTTACATCTTGAATATAGCACGTAGAAAATGGGCTCGAACCCTCAACCCTACAATTATTCCATCAGGCTGTCTCAAACAAAACCGGCCAACGTGCTCAGCGTCTGTCTTATGATTAAATAACCGGTCGTAAACAATATCTGCCAGCGAGATCAGCGATAGAACTAATCAGCGGCAGCTTCACTCCACTAGAACCCGAGACTTTCCTGCTAATAAGCGTCTCTCTCTCTCTCCGGCAGCAGCTGGTCTCCGCCGATGATCTCCCACAATGACAGTTGAGTGCAAAGGGCTCGTGATTTTTAAACCACAGCCCAGACGAGCCATTTCATCCAGAGCAGCACTTAACGCCCTGAAACACTAGGAGCTCAGCGGCGGCCTCCATTTTACCTGTTCGCTCAGCAATCGGCTATGCTAATGTGGAAACGGCCCCCCGCTTCCCTTTTCCCCTCGACCATGACCGACTTCTGCACAGCCCAGCAGGCCTCCCGCTGGCTCTGCTTTATGACCTGGCAGGCTGAAGCCGAGCTGAGGCAGCATCGCGGAGTATCACATAAAAAAGTAAATAGATTCCCTAAAAAAAAAAAAAGCAATCGGCACGCCCCGACGGATGCCTTTTAGCTTGCGTAGACATGCTAGCTCATCACAATGCTGGAACAAGATCTGGCGACCGAAAAAAAGAGGAGGATAGCATGTGAAAATGAATTTGGTTACAAGTTCTAATGAAGTGCATGTTTGTGTGATGTTGGCAGGAGGTGAGGAATCCTTACGCAGAGTGGCCGATAATGTAATCATCAGTGAGTTTGTCTAAATGAAGCTGTCATCGAGTGCTGCAGGACCGAGAGCGTAAACCCCGGTAATGTGAGTTGACACTTTAATGGGAAGAGAAAACGAGACGAGCAGCAGCACCACCAACAAACGGCTGAATATTCCTCATTAATTGCCGTTTTGCAACTTCCAAATTGTCGTTGGTGTAGTGTCACTCCCGGTTTTAAATTAGGGTGTGGACGTGGGCCCGAGCGAGAGAGGATGTGTTGTCGCTTTTATCGAATCCGCTCCTTCCTCCCACCTGTCAGATGTTTCCACGACCGCTCGGCTCAGCTGTAAAAACACAAAAGTGCTTTCAACGCGCTGGTTTTCACACTTTGACCCCGAGCGGGGCGTCGGTTACCTTTACGGGGTCAAACAACATCCACGGCTTCGCTTCGCAGCTACTGTATTTCAAAGAGCGAAGCCGTCGTGTCTGCAGAGCTGATAAAAGTAGAAGAAAAAAGAAAAGCCAGTGGGTTCCTCCTCTACGCTCCCCGCTGAGAGCTCCGGCAGCCACCTTGCTCGGCGTCGGGGACTCTGCCAACTAGTCGCCCTCACAGATACGACCACAGGGATCGCCTTGTGCTCTGAACACTGGGAATAAATCACCTGGCTGGGCAGCATGTAAAGCAAAACAGAGCGGATGAGTGAGTGAGTGAGGTTGCACATTAGATTTAAGGATTTTTTTGGGTGTAAAACGCCAACTATTCTGCACATTTTGAAGATGAGAGTCTTTCTTTTAACACCTTTGAGTTTGAACCTGCTGGTCAGAAAACAACCGCTATCACATCCAGTCTTCAGCATTTTTCTCTACAAACATCATTATGTTGTTAACCGATTCCTTATTTTCACTCGTGCCTCTATTTAAAGTCTCCACTCTCAGGGATCACCGTGTCCTCTGGGAAGAAAAAAAAAAAATCACCTCACAGGGTTGAATATAAAGTAAAAAAGAGAGCATGGGAGAGTTAACTGTGGTTACATGTCAGGTCGACTCGCTAACTGATTAAATTTGCTTTCTTTCGAGGATGGATTCACCGTTTTGCTCTGGTTTTTTAAGTTGAACATCTTTGGGTTTAAAGCTGTTGCTCAGAAAAAGCGACACCTAGGGCTCGACCAATCAGATCCATCCATTATCCTCATTTTTTTTTTTAATCCAATTCCTGGTAAAATAGTCTGTTTTAGTTTGTTCTCTATTGTCAAGAACTGCAATAAGTAGCATGCCAGCCTTAAATAGGGACTCATCACACTAATAGTATCTGTCAAAATAAAAATAAGCTCCTCCCCTTCCACTTTACACCTGTTCTTATTTTCAAAATCCCTTTCAATAAACAACAACAATCTCCAAGCAAGTTTTACAGAGGCTAACTTTGCCAGTGTCTTCACTAAGCCAGCTTGCCTGCGTCCAAATGTTCCACCAGAATAATCCCTGTTTTGAGGGGGCACCTGCGCTGCATCCCGGGCTTAGCGTCACCCAAAATAACTGGCCAACAAAAAATAATACAAACAACTCAGAGTTGTCCTCCCTATACCAGAATGCTAATGAGGTGCAGTCAGGTCACTCTGTGCTGCAGAATAGTCTGATTATACATGACTAAAATTATTTCAATATGATTCCTTTTGATGTACACTTTAGCCCCAGTTACAGATATTTCATTTCACTAGACCCTACTGACATCTTCTTGGATACTATAATATATTAAGGCAAAACGACTACAAAAACAAAACATTTCACTTCCCACTATAGCACAATAATAAAGATGTGCAGTTGGACCATTATGTGCTGCAGAATAGTCTGACTTTGCAAGACTAAAACACCTGCAATGTGACTTTATTTTGTGCATCATTCCACCTTAATCCTTGTTATTGCTCGTTATCGGTTCGCTCTGCTGATATCTTCTTGGTCAATGTGTGACATTAATGCATCTACTACAAAAACAGAACATTCCTGTTATAGCAGAATGATACTGAGGTGCAGTCAGACCGCTCTATGCTGCAGAATAGTCTCTCAATGCGAGATTAAAATAACTCCAGTATGAATTGAACTTGCATATCGTTGAGCCCTCGCCCAGATGTTTGTTATTGCTGCTGACATCTTCCTGGTCACTGCAATGCTTTTACTACAACAATACAACATGTCAGCTCCTGTTGCAGCACAATAATAATGATGCACAAGGCTAAAATAAGGGCAATATGATGGGTTTTTTGCACATTGTTTAACCCTAGTCATCGCTATCGGTTCACCCTACTGACATCTCTATGGTCACTATGTTATGTTTGAATTTACTGCAAAAATAAAAAGTTCCTGTTGCAGCAGAATAACAGTCAGACTGCTCTCTGCTGCAGGATGGTCTGACCACTACAACATGACTTTATTTTGCTTTTCCTTCAGCCCTGGTTCCAGATATTTGTTGTCAGTGGAGCCCTACTGACATCCCCTTCACATCAGCCCAGTACTACTACAGAACCAGAGCGGCTCAGTACTTGTTGCAGTACTTCTGAGGCAGTACTACTCCCAGTCCAGCCTTGTTGACACTTTGATGAGGTGATGTCACCTGGCTGGATGTTAATGCAGCAGATTAGCCCGGATGGGGCTCTAATATCAGCACGTCTAAGCCTCATACACCGGAGAGCCTCAGCCACCCGGTACTGCGTTCAGAACCTGGAGTACTGCCGGTACTGCTGGTGGTGGAGCGGTGTTTAAACGCCTCAGGTGCCCGGTGCTCCGGAGCAGCTCTCCGGGCTCCGAATCAGCCGACAGTTAAATCAAAGCAGGCAGCCGGTGGTGGCCGAGCACAGCAGCCCGACTCCGGCCGTGTGTGTGTCTGAGCTCACGGTACCTGAATCTCCCTCCGCAGTGCTGGCATTGGTCCCCGACCCAGCCGGGGAAGCACACACAGCTGCCGGTGGCGGTGTTGCACTGGCCGTTCATACACGGTTTGTCGCATTCCTTCGCCTCGGTGACGCCGGGCAGCCCGGACAGCAGCCCGACGACCGACAGCAGGAGCGCCGTGGTCAGCATCAGCCAGCTCCGGCCGCGGCCAGAGCCCGAGCAGGCCCGCCGCGTCGCCCCGTACATTCTCGCACAAAAGATGGCTGCTGGGAGGCAGGAGGCTCCGCGGCTTCGGAGGCGGAGAGCCGACGAGCTGTCCGGCGGAGCGGCTCCGGTTGTCGCTGAGCGTGTGCGCGGTGACGGTGAGTGTGTTCGCTGGTCGTCTCCGGTGTCCCGGTTTACATCTTCCCAGCGGTTCTGTTTCCCAGCGCCGCAAAAAGCCGCATATTGACGTCCAGAAGTGACGCAAAGGCGACGGAAGTGCGCAACGGCAGGGGGCGAAGCGCGACGGCTTTAAACTTTTATTTTGAAAAACCTCGAAGGCGAGCAAGCCCCGCCCCCTTTACAAAATAAATCACCAGTGATTCTGAAAATTTCAAATCAATATTAAATAAAGAAACACATGAATAAATAAACAAATACGCCAATAAAATAAACACTTACACAAAAGAAGCAAAAATATAAATAAATATAATAATTCAATCAACAGGTTTTCATTTTATTTTTATGTCACATTTATTTCATTACCTTATTTAATTGTTTGCTATTTGATGAAATAGAAAACTGTAATGAAATTCCATTTAATACATATTTAGAATGTTTAATTCAACATTAATTCAATATTAGGAACATCAATAAAGAACCCTTTTAAATAAATACACATGGTTCTAAAAATCACCTGAATTATAGTTACTTTTCCATTATATATGTATTTATTTATATATATTTCCAAACTATCAATTTTCCTCATATTCTGTGTCCACATTCTAAGATGAGTTAAGTATCTACTGTCTGAACTTTTACATATTAAAAAATGATTTAGTTCATTGCCATGTTTATTTATTTCACTGAGTTATGTATTTATTTAATATTGAATAAAATGATATTTCACTGAATAGTTTGTCCTATTATTGAATGTCATTGAAATCAATATTTATATAAATAAACAAATATAACTATGAAATAAACCCTGAAATTCTATGAATTCATGAATACCATCCATCCATTATCTACACACCGCTTAATCCTCACTAGGGTCATGGGGGGCTGGAGTCTATCCCAGCTGACTCACGGTGAAGGCAGGGGACACCCTGGACAGGTAACCAGTCTATCACAGGGCTACACTTAGAGACAGACAACCAAGCACACTCACATTCACACCTACAGACAATTTAGAATCACCAATTAACCTCAGCATGTTTCTGGACTGTGTGGGAGGAAGCCGGAGGGAGCGGGGAGAACATGGAGACTCCCCCACCGGGACGCGAACCAGCGACCTTCTTGCTGTGAGGCAACAGTGCTACCAACTGCGCCACCCTGCAGCCCCATTCTTGAATACCTTTATTTTTATATTTTTTTCAAATGATTTTTCAATGGACAATTTCCTTTTTTAAATTTCAGGTGACTTTTACTTGATAAAGCCTTTTTATTTTTTAGGATTTATTTGCTTGTCATTTTTATTTATTTCAAAATGGCATTTGTATACAATATAAATAAAAATAATACTAAATAAGCCAATAAATAGATAAATATTCAGATGAAATAAATACATACGGCTATTTTATAAATGCTGAAATAAATAAATGAGTCAATAAACATATGCACATAAATGTAATAACTAAATAAATGCATTTTTTATTTTTAAAGGACTACTTTCATCGAGTTCATTAGAATATTTATTTATGAATGGCATTCATAGGTGATTTCTCATCATATTTATTCTCCAATAATTGATTTTCCTGGGGTTTTGTGTCCATGCTCTAATGTTCCATCCGCTATCCGAGGATGTGTTTGATAAAAATATTTGCTCTAAAAGAAAAATACTATTTTGACAGCATCTGCACTGCATTTCCCATCATGCTTTGACAGGACACCTGTTTCCATACAGTTAATATCTATGGCGTCTCCAGTTGTTTGCATTAAACACAAAGTTCACTCATCGGCTCTTTGGCTTTTAACTTCATCCTCGACAAAGTGAGCAAAAAAGAAACTCATTTAGAGAAGAGTTTCTGCTCACTAGCCACACAGCGATTTGAATTATTGGGCCAGTCTCCCTTATTTTCAGCTCCTGTGTGATAGTGTTGGTGTCAGCGGTGCAGTCAGACAGTTTTTATAGGGATGCTCAGACTATGAGTCCCACTGGGGTGGCACAAAGTCTGCTATAATAAGCTCCTTTTTTTTTTTTTTGAAATGTAACCCTCAGTTGATTTAAAGTCTGAAACAGTTGCTAAAGTTCTGCTTTTGTTTTTGTAAATTGTTGTTAAAGCTCACAAGATAATTGAATTTAAATCACATAAGATAAACACAGTCGTCACACTGTGTTCATTCAGCCTCTTGTTTTCTTCATACATACTTTAACTGATAAAAACATGAACAGATTCCTTAAAAGATGCATTTTTTACACCATCTATGCACTTTTCTGTGACAGTAGTACAAAATCTTTAAGCTGCTGAACGTTTAGTGGTTGTTCAGGACCACTGGGCTGAATGTGGCTGTTAGAATGTCTTTATATGCTCATAACAATAACAATAGTAATAACTAGAGGAGCTTTATCGCACTGAGCCCCAGTCAACCATTATTCCGTCCAACTTACCCCAACGTAGCTGTTCTCTTCCACTCATCATGGTTGGCCGGATGTCCAAAGTGCAATGGGTGTATATTTAAAATATAATGCCAATATTAAGATTTTTGGACCTTGAGTTTGGCCCAACACGAGGCCAACGGAGAGCCCCAAATACCATAAATCTACCTTCCACTACCTTTGAAGGTATACGTGACCTCTGACCTCTAGCAGAGCTGTTTTTGCACCAAAATCTAATCATTTCGGAGAGACGCCATTTGTAGCTCACCTGTAAAATATCAGCTTGTTAGCCTTTAGCATTCGAGCTACAGACTGTTCACAGACACACAGATAATAATGACTTTACTGGCTGAAAGGCAATGGTTACCGTATTCTAGCCACAGTTCCATGTGTACATGTTTCCCCCTCTAGTGGTCTCGTCTGTTGGCTATTTGTCGTGGTGTGGTCGTCCCAGGTCGCCTCTTGTTGTCTGACATAATGCAACTTGGCTGTGACTTTGCACATCCGTGTGGAGCTTTATTTAATGTGGCATCTACATGTTGAACTGGTGCCTTTAAAACGTTGTTGAAAACATACTTGTCGTGGTTTATTTTATCACACAATACCCCAGTAGTTTCTTTATGTCAGCAGATTTACCGACACAAGAACTGAATCCTTGTTGGGTTTATTACAACGCTGCTGTAGTTTACTTTGTCAATATTAAACATGTTGCCTCTGCATTGATCAACTTTGTGTAACTGTGTGATAACTTTTGTGTTTTGGCGTCACATAATTTGTCACAATATAATAAATAAAATAATTACTTCCAATATGTCAGTGAGTTTTGCATTACAAATTTTTAGAAATGCAAATGGTTTATTATTTATCTAAAAAAAACACCCTAATTTGCATAAATTTTCACAACATAATTGAGAACATCGGATGAAGCCAGCTTTAAAATTCTTGTTTCATTTCGTTCACACATCGTAGAGAAGTTTACAAATCTCACCGCATGAAAGGAGATCACTTTTCACCGTGTTTTTAAGAAATAAAATGTTCTAGAAACCCGACTGTGAAAGACGCATGAACTAACTTCTCTGCAAAAACCTTCAGAATAGAGACAAAAGTAAAAATGGAACATTTGGTGCATTTAAGAGCTGCTGGAGCGGAGATTTGTGGCTCAGAGTTGGAGGAAAAAAATATATTTTTGCCCTAAAATTCCATATATTTTAATGGAAAATACATCTTATGGGTAGATTTTCTAACTAACACATAACCTCTGATAACCTCCTCAGTTGATTATCTGCTTTGACATTTACATTTTCTTGTATTTTAAGTTGTTTAAGTTGTTATGGTTAAATACAGAAATGACTTCCTATCTCTGTAAATATTTTTGTTTCTTTTATTTGTTCATTTTATTCTTTTATCTTTCAGTTGCACACGTTTTTATTTTATTTGTTTTCTACTGTTCTGGGCTGCTCGGTGGCTCGGTGGTTAGCATCGTTGCCTCGTAGCAAGAAGGTGTATAGATGATGGATGGATGGATGGATGACTGTTCTTATCATTACCTGTAACCTTGTCTTTATGTTTTAAGTCACTATTTTCTTTAATTATCCTTGTTCTTTTTTTTCTTGCTTACTTTCTTACTACTCCTATCTTATCTGGTGTTGTTGTGTCGATTTATTTTGAAAATCTTTTGTTTGCCTCTCTGGTCTTTCCCTTTCAGTTTTGGACTGATCAGCTTCAGTGTTCTCCTTCAGTGACCTTATCTTCTTTTGTTTGTTGTCCTTTGAAAGGTGCAATATAATTAAAGTGATTATTAAGTATGTGTTTAATTGCATAGATGCACAACAGAAAAAACAAACAAACATGGAGTTAAAAAAATCACCTGAAGGTGCAATTTGTAATTTGTGAAAAAAACTTCATAGAAGTTTGTAGAAAAGCTTTTACAGTGTGGAGTCTATACACTTCTGCATGCACAGTTTTATTTATTTATTTTATTTTTAAAAAAGTTAACCCAGAGATATGAGTAAAATTTTCATGTTTGATTAGATTTTCATGGTTTTCACAATATAAAACACGAATGTACCTGAATACCTGAAGTTAACACCCCATAATAATGTTAAACACACACATTTCCTCATTTAAATGTTGAGATTAAGATCCGACAATAATAATAATTATTATACAGAATATGAAACTAAAACAAGCAGCTCACATCTTTTCCTATATTTTCTGTTATTGTTTTTAAACATAATTTATAATTATTACACTCGTCTCTGTTGCACTTTGAATGTATATATGTTGTTCATTTAAAAAAAATAAAAGTAACGTGGAGATTAATGTTGTGGAGAGAACGTTTTAGAAATCCCAGAGCCCGAAAGAGAGAGAGAGAGAGAAAAATCTATTTTCACCGAGTTTTTAAGGAATAAAATGTTCTAGAAACCCGACTGTGAAAGATGCATGAAGTAACTTGTCGGCAAAAACCTTCAGAATAGAGACAAAAGTAAAAATGAAAAGTCTGGTGTATGTAGGAGCTGCTGAAGTGGAGATTTGCCTTAAAATTCCATATATTTTTAATAAAAAACACCTTTATGGGTAGAATAATAAACTCATCTTATCACCGCCTCTATATTATTTTTTTGTTTGTTTTTTCTAAAAACTTGTGTCTAAATACACAAAATTAGCTAAAACCTCTTTAACTACTTTTATAACCTAATTTATCTTTTTAAAATTTGTTTATTTTATTCTTTTATCCTTTAATCATGAACTTAATTCTTTCTTATTTGAATGTTGTTGTTTTTTTGCTCTTTCATTACTTTATCAGGTGTTGTTTTATCGATTTATTTTGATTTTTTTTTTAAACCATATTTTTCTCTAATCCTCACTTTTTCCTCTCTGATCTTTCTCCTTTTGGACTGACCGGCCTTTTGTTGTTCCTGAGTGTCCTTCTCTTGTTTTGCCCTTTATATAAATAAACTAATCATTACTAATTGTGCTTTATTTGCATATATATATATACAATAAACAACACTAAGTGAAAAAAAATCCTAACTGTGCAATTTTTTCTTTCCATTAATCTCAAAGGAGGCTTGACGTAAAAGCAAAACACCTCCTAAATGACACCTAACGCTGGTTTTTGCTTGAATCCGTCCCCCCGCCGCCCACCAGCCCACAGACTGCACACCAAGCACACACCACTGTACAAATGGTATAGAACAGTTTATTAAATTTAGACTTATAAGAAGTCATCATATTCCAACGCACTCCAATCGCATGAAGCGCATTCGTAATAACACCAACCCAAAAAAGGATTGATCACGGCATCGGAACATAAATAAAGCAAATAAACATATTTACAATTCAACATGGCCGGAGGAAACGGGGGGGAAGAGTTTTGTGCGCGAGAAAACACGGAACTCCGCGTCCGGCCTGGAGAGGAAGTGGTCTGTCCCACCCGGACGGCGGGAGTGGACGGAGGAGAAACACGATTGGACGAAGCATGAAAACAACCTACTGCGTGAGTCACATGTTGTCGGTTCAAACACCTGACGACAGAATCAGTAACGCTGCTGTTTGCAGTATCAGTATCGGTACAAAGAGGACGAACTATTTACTAGCGGCGGTGGCTAAAGTCGTGGCCTTCGTCGTTACGAATCTCTCAGGTTTCTATAAAACAGAGGACAGAAAAAAATCCTTTCAGCTACCTTTATAGAACCCTGAATCCAATATTTAATCAAAATCGAGTATCAAACGTTGATTCTAGAAAAAAAGGCTTCGATTCACAGAGTTTTTTTTTTCACATTTTTACCGTTTGGAGGATTTGTCTGAACACAGAATTGATCGTTTTTGAGCCGAGCTGATAAACGGACGGACGTCGGTTTGAGACAGTCGATGCAAAAAAAAAAAACAAAAAAAAACACCCCTGCGGAATAATCAAAAAAACAAAAAAAAAAGATCCTTAGAAAAAGTACAATCATAGAAAGCAGTTTGTGTGACTCTCCCAGCACTTCTATCGCACATGACAGTCTATGTGGATCAACATCAGGTCCAGTTTCTCAACGGGAGAGCCGCCGACCTCGCCTGGACGACGGGGAGGTTGGAAAGAAAAAGAAATCAGGACAAAAAGTACACTTAACTGACTTTCAAATGGCACTCTGGTTCCTGCAGGTTCACCCTCCCCCCCCTCAAAAACAACCCCCCAAGAAAACCAACTAAACACTGAGAATAACGTCCAGAAGAGGTGACCGCATGTCGCGCTGTAACATTCAGCCATCCGGTAATGGCGTCTCCTCTTTGTTCCCTCTCTCACAGTTTCATCATCTTTCAGTCGCCTCGTGGAAAAGCCATTTACAAGCCTTACAGTATGTACACGCTTGATCTATCGTAAAGAGGAAAACAAAAAACAAAACAGGTATAAACAGGGTTATTTCTCCCCCTTTAGGTATGTACAGAGAGCAGAGAGGAGGTGTTAGAAAACAATGATTGAGCACCTCGGAGTTATCGTGTAAAATTTACACACAGGAAAAAAAAGAAAAAGAAAAAAAAAAAAAAACTGCGTCCAAGTACTGGCTTTAAGAAACTCACATTCACCCCTTCACTGTCCCTGTCGGGCACATAAAGACATGAGCATTCATCCAGAGGGGCTCGCAGGCCCCCTTCTAAAGGCAAGTCATATCTGATGGACTTCTCAATACGTCACCTTCTCTCGTTTAGTAAGAAACAGAAAGAAAAAAAAACAACAGATGGTCTCTTTTTTTTTTTTTTTTTTTGGTCTCCCAAATCAGGCATTATCGGGTGTCGGAACACCGTTTGGATGATCGAGCATCAAAGGCCCCTTCGGAGTGTCCTCTTGGTTTTGATACCTGAGGTGTAGCGTGACTGAGTGACTGAGTGAGTGGGTGAGTGGGTGAACACTGGCTGATTGGTGGGAGCGAAGCAGCATGTGGGGACCAGACGGGGGTGGAAGGTCGGAGCTGTGTGCTGTTTAGGACGATCACAGGTTTAAAAAGAAATAAACTAATCAAACGACTACTTGAGTCTGCGTTTAAAACGCCCGCTGATCCCCCTCCCATCTTGAGCCGAGTCTGGTCGTGAACGTTACGAAGCGAATTGAGAAGCAGGGCAGCATGGTGGTGAGTAACGGCATGTGTGTGTTTGTACCGAGCAGGAGGCACACGTGTCGCCTCCGCCGGCGTTTAAAGTGGTTTATCTGAGGCAGAGTGTGGCGGCGACGGCAGGGAGGGAAAACAGGGGCGGAGGTTGGGGGGGTTTCATCACATATTGCATGATGGGATTGTTTAGGTAGCGGAGGTCTGGCGCGAGGGCCGGCCCATGGAGGAGGCGCTGTAGGTGCGGGAGCGCTGCCTCATGGCCAGGCGGCACGGCAGCTCCAGCTCCTGGAAGAGGGGAGTCCCGGTGATGTCGACCGCCTCTGGACGCTCGCTGGGGCTCAGCGACAGCATGCTGCGCACCATGCTCAGCTGGAAGCACAAGAAAACACACACCGGATAGCGTTAGCACATTTCTATGGACCGAATTTTTGCATGTTTTTGACTTTATTTGTCTTCTTGCAATCTCTATTTATTATATGCTTTTATTACTTTTTAGACTACTCTTGGTTTCTGATGCCAGCTGTTTGGAACGATATTTCTTGTTTTTGTTTGTTTAACAGAGATGCACAGAGATTTGTCAAATAAAGAAACCTTGACTCTTGAATCATCATCCAGTAGTTTAGCTGCTTTGCTTCACATGAAGCGCAGGTGAAGTTGAATCTATTCATGAAGCACATGATGAAGAATAACAGGAGTTCACCAACTATGAGACGACTAAAGGACGAATCTGAACAAAAACATAAAAGTTTGTAGCGTTTAAAACCAGCCTCAGTGTTCGGCTGGAGTCCCCTCTGACTGATTGTTTTTACTGATTGTATTTGTTATCTCATACTGACGGACTTTCAGGTTTTATATTGTTGTATTATGTCGTTTATTTACTGCTCTGTGGTTGATCTTTTTCTGTACCCGCTTACAGACAACAGATGCTAATTAGCTGCTAGCTAACTCTGGTGTAACTCCTTTAAAGTCTGTGCCGTCCCTGCCCAAAAAAAGTAAGAGAATCAGGAAAAAAATATTATTTGCAACACAATAGAGGATGAAATCAGCTCTACATGATGTCTGTGAGGTGATGTGATCTTCAGGAGTGACTGAGAAGTTGCTAAAAGCTCGATTGCCTCCATGTTTGTGTCTGGATCTTAAAACGTTTAGAGCAGCGGTCCCCAACCACCGGGCCGCGGACCGGTACCGGAAAGAAAAAAAAAAGTTTAAATGTTTTATTTTTATTTCCAGCGCAGTCTACAGGGTGTTTTATTTTGAAAAAGTACTAGATCGTCTTCCCATCACTTCTGTCTGTGCTTGTTTCCTGCACTTGACTGTCAGTTTTCATGCTCTGCCGTTAAACGAAGCCGTCAGTCTAACCGCTGCCGAAATGTCTAAAAAAAACAAACGTCTCCAGAGAGCTTCTTTGGAAAGACTCAATGCTGAGACAGAAGAAAAAGTAAACACATATTTAGCAAGTCATTTTATTCGTTTGTGAAACTTTTTAATGGAAAAAAATATTGTTTTTTGTTACGTGTGCAATGATCGATCCGTAGAAAAGTTTCTTGGTCCGTAGTGCAAAAAAGGTTGGGGACCGCTGGTTTAGAGCATCTGGTTGGTCGACTTGAGTGCTCTAGCTGAAAAACTAAGAGTTTTGATAAACAGGGTGGTGTCAAACCTTTTAAGATCTTAAAAACAAACAGTAGAGGTTTAAAATGAATCCTGAGATGGACTGAAGTCAGCGGAGAGAGCTCGGTTCTGGCTGTTCACACACCATCAGCTGTTTTTTGTAACGGAGCGGGACTAGTGCATGTTGTGACTCAAGTAATAACAGAAATAATATGTGAAAAATATCCTCCAGAATAAACACAATCACAAAGTCTACATGCACAGAAATGCACACACACGATGCAACAGACCACAAGCGGTGAAGTGGTCTGGTGGGCTGAGCGGGCCAGTCGCAGAGTCACAGATTACGCTGCGGGATTATGATAATCTCATTACAAAGTAAACAGGTAAACAGGGTAATATAGCCGCCAGCACAACAATCCACAGCCTGACGCCTGCTGTGGTAGTTAAGGAGCACGTACGCAACATAAAAACAAAGCTAGCTCATAGGAGATCCCTGGATTTGTTGGGTTTCATGTAGAACTTTACCTCTAAATTAGTCAAGTTATTCTCTATAATTAGCTTTAATTTGTATATTGGTTAGAGGAAGTTTTGTAATTTAAAAAAGATGGGTCTTAGCTATATTATTATGTAAATTAGGTTATTCTGCAGGCTTCACAGCTACTTTTAGTAAAGTTTTAATCCCTAATATGTATTTTTTTCAGGTAAAATCACAACAAAAATAACCCAAATATTTAAACTTGTTCGATGAATTCATTAAGCTAATCAGAATTTTTGTACCAGAAAAAGTTTTGGCTTTATAAAGTAGAAATCTGAACATATAGATAATATTGTTATGAATGCAAATTACACATACAGATGCAAGAAAAATATAAGAGATAAGACAAAACTTTATTAATCTTTGTGCAAAGTTTGCTCAGAAAAAACTACATGGCAAACACAAAAGTCTAAAAAGTAAAAAAGCAGTAAGATATAGGTGAAATAGATGCTGAAATATAATAAATAAACTGCAGTAAGTCTGGACTAGATCCGTGTAAAGTAATGCTGGTAGTAACACTGAGGTATAATGAGGCTATTTGCATATCTGACTGTATATTCTGTTGTTTTGGAAGCAAAACGCGTCCTAATTGGATTATCTGAGCAGCTCGACTCATCGAGGGGATTAGGTCGGTGCGGACGGGTCATTTAAATCCGTCGTTATGAGAACCAACCCTCCGCGTGTGTGTCAGTTTGTGTGTGCGGCCACTAGGCGGCAGCAGACGACCACTCACCTCCTGCACGTTGTTCCTGGAGAAAACCTCTGGGAAGCACAGCGCTCGCACTTCTGTCAGCGTCTGGAAGAAGGACGTAAACACCTGTGAGCTCGCCGAGGGCTCATCAGCTCCTTTGTTACTAAGACAAAGACTTCACGCTTGATTGCTACCGAGGAGAAAGCACACGTATGTGCGTCTGCCGAGGAGGAAACTACTCCTGGAAGTGGTGCTACTGTAGGTGGCAACAGTGATCGTGTGTTATGTTTCCTCAACACTCAATAACAGAATAAAGTGAATAAAAGCAGAGACAGAAAGATAAAGAGGCTCAATAAACAGCAGCTGAAGCCAAACATGACATCATATTATTTCATTTCCTTTAAATGTCAACATGTGGACAGATTTGGAATTAATCGGACAAACAGAATCGGTTCTGAGTTTATAAAACTTCTAGCTGGGCTCATGTTTTATGTTTTATTTGATCCCTGTGAGGCTCAAGGCTATATTCTGAATCATTTCACTCCCTTTCCAGCTCTCATCTGTCATTAAAAGTGAAATCCACATGTGCTGTATCTTGTTTTGTTTTTCAGAACAGTCAAGGTTATCTAGATTTTCCATCATTTAATATGAATACACTTCCACTTTTGCTATATTAGCCTCTTTATACAACAAAAATAAGCATTTTTTATTATGAACTCATTGTGTTCTTACATGTATCTCACCACATAATGCTAAAAAAATAAAGATATGTTTTCATAATTGTACTTGAGATATTAGTTATATCAAAACCATGACTTAGAAACTGTGAAAAATCAGTAATTTAGTGCCTAAAAGTCAAATTCGTTTAAGTCATTGAAGCGTTAAAACTCGGTAGCCTACTTTCAGAGGTGGCAAATGTTTGATTAACATATCATAGCACAGACATGTTAATATGTATGCATTGCATAAATATTAACATATGTAGATATTAGCATGTCTGTGCGGTGACGAGTTCATGAGTAATTTAAAGCAGAGTAACGGATGAGGAGCTGAACTGTGATTGAATTTGATCTAAATTCAAATTATTTTCTTCTCGACATGAAACTAAAATTGTTGGAAAAGGTCAAGTCATGCGGTTTTATTTGATATGCGCCGCGCGTCGCCGCAATAAACACTCAGGGAGCAATTTAAGCGAGGAGAGGCGATGAGAAGTGGCTCTACGGGTTATCCTGGACCAGAAAATACAGACGAACATAACAACACTTTTGGGAATCAAGAGGAGAGAAAATAAAGAAAAATAAGGCGCGATGATGAGCGCATGTGTTTGCTGACTCACCCTCACTCGCTCCATCTGGGTCCTGAACGGATACAGCAGCTCAAACAGGATCAGACCCAGAGAGTAGATGTCCACTTTGTGAGAGTACGAGTTCCCAGAGAGCTGCGAGGACAAGGAGCTCAGGATTAATTCCTCTTTAAGACGCAGGAGACTCGAAGATTTCCGAGATGTTGAGATGAAAATCAACGCACCTGCTCAGGGCTCATGTAGAGCTTGGTGCCCACCTGGCCGGTGTGGCGGGTGAGGAGCGGGGCGGGCGTCAGGGCGCTCGGCTCGTCCTCGTCCTCCTCCTGGTCCATCGCCGTCACCAGGCCAAAGTCTCCCACCTTCACCACATCGTCCATGGTGAAGAAGATGTTGGAGGGCTGAGCAGGGCGGTGGTGGATTAAAACGACGATTTGAAACAATGCAAAAGCTGTACAGTCGTGCCTCGATAATCCAACACTAAATGTAAAACCTTCTCTTATGTCGGATAGCAAGGCTGTCGGATTGTCAAGACGGAGGTCGAGATACAAGGAGGGCTTGATGCTGGAAGGCTCATTTGTTGTTAATTATTGTTTATAAGAATAATAAATAATAACTCGTGTAATGTTAGAACACTACGGATCGCTGGATTTCACACCTAACTGACTGGTGCACTTGTGCACGTTCCGGCCACTTACACCCCGTCGTCGCGCACCCCCAGGGTGGAAGTAGCCGGAACACACAGGCAGTACTTGGCTGCTGATGCTAGTTTAGTTAGCGCTCACACTTCTGTTTCCACCATCGGTGGCGGTGGAGTGGCAAATTACCTCCATAAACACTGAGCATGCTCACTGCGTGTGACGTCGTCGTGTCCTCTTCTGCGCATGCGGGACACTTTTGGGTCGTATGAAGTTCACACAGCAGATCACATACAAGTCGCATTTAACTGGAAATGTGAACGAACTCACAGAAAACGAGATTTCACAAAAAAATTGAGCATTAAGTCCTGCAGTCTGAACGTAGCCAATCTGTGGGATTGTCCAGTCAGATAATACGCCGTTATCCTTATGTGTGACATAAAACATCATGTCAGAGTCAGAATCCAACGCTGTCGGTACGTTAAGGCTGTTTTTATGGGTTCCATTTGTTTTTCCTAAAAACCTGTCGGATAGCAAGGTTTAGGATTGTTAAGGGTCGGATTATCGAGTCACGACTGTAATCTAGTATATATGCTATGCAGCAGGACTGACACTGGGTTTAAACTGAGATGTCGGTGGTTTAACAAGGTCACGTCGTCCTCCTTGTGCAACAGTTATGGTGTTGATGTTTTGAATCTGTTGTACAATGAAAACTGAAGTGGATTTAAAAATTAGAGAAGTTTCCTGAAACTGCTCAGCCTCAAAACCAAACACATGAGAGCTAAAAGAATTAGTGACAGAAGTAGCTGACAGTAGATCAATATTCCACCTAACAGGCAGCTCACATCAAAAACACAGTAAACCACATGTATGGAGATGAAAAAAGGACAACTTTGCACCTCTGGAATGAGGATATATTAAGAATTTCAAAAATCTTTGAAGGACTGTTGGTGAATTTGTTGCATCATCCGTCTTTGTGCTGCACGCTTGCGTTCAACAAGTTTCAAATTTCCAAACAGAGACAACAACTGTGACTAAATCTAAGTTTAAGAGAAAGTTTGACGATCTAAAGCAAGTCAATACAAGCCTCTGTATGAGCTGAGAAGAGGTTCGTGTTTTCTTTTCTGCTGCAGTCTCAGCACCAGCATCAGGACTGTCTTTCACAGTTACTGTCAGCAGGAGATACGGTTAAATAATTAAGGTTACAAGCAGTTTCTGTGTTCACCTTGAGGTCCCTGTGCATGAGCCCCTTGCTGTGCAGGAAGTCGACGGCCTCGGCGATCTGGACGAAGATGTCCAGACACTGGTTGTGCTCCCTCTGCTCCGGCAGGCAGCGCTGAGCCATCCAGTCCTTCAGGTTCTCCTTCCTGCAGAGCTGCATCTGGATGTACAGATACACCTGGAGGACGGAGAGCAGCACTCAGTGTGTTGCAATCAGATGATTTGACTTGACCAATTAAGCAGGATGCAAAAAAAACGAACTATTTGTAATAAATTAAAGAAATTGAAAAACAAATTGAGAGCAATGCACTAAACATGCAGTAAAAACCACTGCAGGTGTTTCAAAAGCAGCTTGTTCCTTTATAGGATTTTACATTTTATGCCCAGTATCACCAATACAAACAAAACAAACAAAAAAAGAAGAAACATCCATTACAAGACCCAAAGTGTTTTTTTTTTCAAGGTTGGCTGATGGCTTTTTAATTTATTCAAGAATCAGATCAAGTGTGTTTTAACAAAAGTAGTACAAGTTCAGCTGTTTTCCCAAATGGTAGATTAAAATTAAATATTAAAATTCTGGCCTTAGATTCTTCTGATGTACAAAATGTGGATTAAACATTAAACTGTCTGTATTATTGAAGTCAATTAAAGTTAAAGCCGCTCCATTCTAAGTTCTTAATGACAGCAATAAAGATTCTGTTTAAACAGATTAAAACTGTTCCTCCAGTTTCAGAAGAACAAAGTGCAGAAATCATACAAATATGAGTGGATCATGAACCAACCTTTGGGGAAGGCTGGACCCTCTGTGTGGGCGGCGTCGTGGGCAGAGCCAGGGTGAGCGAGGTCGGCCGGGGAGGGGAGGACGACGAAGGCGGGACCGACTCCTGCCGCCGGGTGTGTGAGGAAGACGAGCTGTTCTTCTCAGTCGCCGTGCTGGGACTGGCGGCGCTGGAGTCGGTGTCGGCGTCGGCGTCCCGATCACAGCCCGAGTCCTCGAACACGATGTCGAAGGAGGAGGAGGTGCAGTCGCTGGGGCCCCGTGGCGGGCACAGCTCGAAGGAGTGGGGGGTGTCTGAGGCGTCAGGGTCGGCCTGGCTGTCCCGCTCCGACATCAGGCTGTCGTGGCCCAGCAGCGGCTGGAATGACAGGTCTCCGTCGTCCACGCCGAAGCTCACGGCACCTCCGCCGCCGCTGCTGGAGAGGAGGGCTCGGGCATCGACGGAGGCCGCCAGGACGTCGCCATCGGGCCCTGGGACCGGAGACACGGAGCTGGACACTGGGACCTTGACCGACAGCGCCTCCATGTGTTCCAGGAAGCTCATTGGCCAGTCAGTGGTGCTGGAAGAGGAAACGTTGTTGTCATCAGTACTGACAGAAACAAACAACAGTCACACAATCTCTATAAATGCAAGACAATGGTACAAATGTGCTCTAAATTAGAATAAAGTTGTAATTTGTAGTAAAACATTCCAGAAGAAGAGAAAGCTGTGATCATTTTCAGCTGCAAACCCCCTCATGTCTGTGTGTGTGCTTTAGAGAGAGGACAGAGTGCAGCAGCAACATCTGTTTTGTATACTCAATCCAAAGAGGAACACAAACCAGACGTTAAATTAACGTTAAAGCAGCACTGCACCTCGTATGAATCCAGCATCTACACCATGATGCGTCCATGTGAAACAGTTGCAGTAAATGAAATGTGAACTAAGACAAATTCACTATTTTTGGAGCATCACACAAAACAAAAAAGTTCTCGTTTTCCATGACTAATCTACACGAGAAGTCTGTCTGATGGAACATGCTTCTGGGAGTTTGTTTTGATTTCTAACTTTATTCACAGGGCGCACAGTTTGTTGACCTGCAGGATCCATGTGTGCAAAATGAGCCAAGAACTGTTGTGTGTGAACATTTCAGCTGCAGAAAACAGGATGTTCAACATAAGCCTTGTAGTTGTATTCATGAGCCGATAAATTAGTTTCAGCATTTAAATCTCTGCATGCAAAGTGCAAAGTCAGATCCGAATGCAATAAAAACAAGAAAAAAATAAAACTACTTTGGAGGCCTTTGCCAGCGTTACACCATAAGAGAAAGGCTCCAAACAGCTTTTGTCAGCTTTATGTAAATTATTTTCGATGCAGATGCAACAGCCTCCCCAGTTCTCCTGGAATGCAAAATTCTGCACAAACACACTTCATACATTCAAGTGTACACATTCAATTCCTGATTTTTCTCATATTGCACACAGCAGAACAATAAAATCCTTCCCAGTAGTGTGCAGCCCGACATTCATCTGCTTCATGTTAATCATCTCGCTAAGTTGCTAATTTGTCGTTCTATTAATCGCTGCATTTATTTTCATGTTGTGTCATTTCGTTTTGGGAGCACAAAAATTTCTTTTGGGAATAATAAAGTTCTGTCTTATCCCAACACGCATATCATTTTTCATCCTGTGACGTTCCACCAGCTGTGGGTGAAATGTGAAATCTGTGAGTTTCTACTCGTCAGGAATGTCTTTATTTTTCCGATGGGCAGCTTGGGTTTCTCTGGATGGCTGAACGCTGCAGGACTCCAGACCTCAGGCGGATCTGCTGCGTCCGACTTGCTGAGCTCCACAGGATGACGGGTTTAAAAACCCACCTGGCGTCTTTCAGCCACCTCTGGTCCATCTCCTCCTGCCAGCCCTCCGGGGGGCTCTCCTGCCAGGCGTTGAAGTAGCGGATAATCCCCGGGTGCTCCAGCTTTGCCAGGGCCTTCACCTCTCGCATCACCTTCTCGCGGGCCAGCTCCCTGAAAGAAGAAGAACTCAGCTTTAGGGTTTAACTTGGATTTACCACTTCTTTTTTATTTCTCAGCTTTCAAACCTGTCCAAGACTTGACAGTCTGAACAGAAATAATATGAAAAGAAGATATAAATTCCTAATCAAACGTTGCTGCTCTTTGTCCGTGTTCGTTAACACTGTGACTTTAATAGCATTAAGCTGGATTTGATGCACCAATGGTTCAATACGCACCTCAACAAAGACACCGGGTCTAAAAATAATTAATAGACTAGTTAGGTGCTGTGCAATGCGCCAGTCGACAACAGGGCTGAAATGAAAATACACGCTGAGCCGCTGCAGCTGAACACTAAATTTTCATGCTTGTCAGTCTAGATAAAAACACGCGGCTAATATTTGTTCCAAAATGTCAGTTATGCCTACGTGTGTTTTTTTTTTTTTCTGTGTTTACACAAGTAGGCTGCCGCTTATGTAACCCAGTTTAACGGCTTTAAAGGAAACCGAGATAAAGGAAGCGCTAATAGCCTCCAGCAAGGCAGTCTGGTGCAGCCGGCGAGGGGCACTACCTATTGGGCAGGCGGATCCTTTTGATGGCGTAGTTGCAGTCGTCCACTTTGTTGCGGGCTTCAAACACAACGCCGAACCCCCCGCGGCCAAGGCACTGCACCGGCTCGAAGTCTGTCAGGTACCTGCCGAGAGACGCTTTGGTTATCGTCGAGCAAAGAAGAGTCGCTTTCAGTGTTGTTGAGGCATGTTGTTGTAAAAAAAATAAAACAGGAAAATAATCAAAATTACATCATTTATCAGAGCAACGAAGGGTAAAAGCAGAATCGCCTGGATGCTGAACTTTGCAACTCAGCTGTGACGCACCGTTCAGTCCAGAAACTCAAATATTTCATCAAAATCACTTCAAAAATTCTGCAAAACTAAATAATTTACTCTAGCCAGACTCTATATTAAAGTGGCTCGGCTGGGACCCATTTATTCAACGTGCCTCGTTTAAAAATTCTGCAAAAACAAATGACTTACTCTAACTAGATTTTGCAAAAAAATAAAAATTCTGAACTTTTTTCTGTCACCACGAAAACCTTGAGTGACTCAGCTGCACCCGACAGTCGCATTAACAAAAAATCTGGAACTTTTTAAGTGACTGTGCTGAACTGCAGGCTGTGTTCACATAGAGGAGAGAGGTAATTAAAAATATAAAGTATGTAGAGTCACAGCTTTTAGTCCAAATCAAATGTTTATGAGCGAGAACGCCTGTGAGAACTGCTTGTAAATGCTGGTTCCTGGCTTTTAATTTTTTCCCTAAATAAATTATCAAACAAATTCCTTTTTCGTCTTTTTTATGCCGAGACAAGTGTTTTATCACCGAGATCCCTGTTAAAGACTAGAAACTAAATTCACTGTGCTCAAGGTGGCTTATTAAGGTGATTACAAAAGGAGGAATTACACGCAGCCAAATCCCTGCCGAGGCTGCGTGTGGTTTCGTGGTTGGCAGGTAACCAATGCGAGGCCAAGAAGCATCCAGAATTGACGCTGATATCAGAAGTATTTCTGGCTGTCTCTGGGCCTTGACTGAATATCAACCTAGAAAATGTGCCAAACTAGTAAGAAACATCTCAATTTAGCCGTTTTACATGTTTTTCTGGCAGCCTAACTTCCCGGCGCTAGTTTTACATACTCGACATCTCCGATTTCCATCATGCAAAAGTTCTCTTTTATCCTGTAAAGACTTAAAACTACTAAGTCTGCTGCTGAGTGAGACCCAGCCACTCTCATTTACGATCTCCTCCGCCCTGTCAAAGCATGCCTGCTCGGTCTCCTCTGGGGAACCGAGGGCTGTCTTATTAGGAAGTGTGTGGGCACATGTGATTCAGGCCTCGGTTCCTGATCTCCATCTCCCTCCTGACTCACGGCGGCCCTCAGCTGCTGCAACAGCCGCCGGTTTTATTTAAGGAAACTTCTTCGGCAACAGTAATTTGCATGGATCGCGGCAGCAGCAGCGGCGGCGGCGGTGGCTCTACGGGAGAAAATGACGGGTGGGGTGCTTGTCATTTTAGGGTGGATCAGAGGAGGAGGAATGTGGTGACAGCCAGAGGAGAAAAATGTGCAGTTTAATCAGATTTGTGCTGGCGAGAGCTGCATTATTCAGCTCACGGAGGTAAACAGGCAAACTCCATCGATCAGCCTGCGGGAGGTCGGTGGCAGCGCGTAAATTACGGCCGCTGATCATATTTACGACGTCCAAAAAACTTCTGACAATGTCCTGACAGTGATGTAATGCGACACCGGGACCCCGCGGCGGCAGATGCGTCCGGGCAGGGTGGGGTCTGCCGGGGAACAAGGTCATTTTCATTTGACGGCAAACAGCTGAGTTACCCAATCATGCACTACTACGACTCATATCTCCCATCTCTGCCTAGTCCTATCGAGGCAGGCTGGAAGACCACTGGTCACCATGGTAACAGTGCTGAATCTGTAGCTACACCTTGAAAGAGTGAGACTCGAATCTGACTTTTTTTTTTTTTTCTTTCTTACACACGAGTGAGAGGATGATAATTCCTGGCACAGCGGCGGCTGTTACGTGTAAGTTCTCCTGAGTCATGGCAAACATAATTCACGTGGGTCATGTTCCGCTCGGCGGCGTGGCGATCGCCTACCTGGACACATATTCGTTGGAACGGGTCTCCATGGCAACCGGCTCTTTGGATTCCACAACTTCAAGGTCAAACTTGCTGTCCGTCTGGCACTGTGTCTCCGACTCTTTCCGTTGCTTTGAGGGACAGAAGAAGGACAGAAAATGCAAAAGAAAAAAAAAGAAAATTAACCAAATTAAAGACTTGCTGAGGCTTTAACTCTCTGCACAAATGGAACCTGCAAGCGGGTTTAAAAGGCGTGTTATCTTTAATTAAAAAATTCCCCAAATCAGACCATTTATCAGAGCCGCAAACTGTAAAAACAGTCTGTGTGGTACCGAAACTAAATCTAAGCTCAGAATTGTGACATCGTGTACGCCTTAGTTAAAAACTCTGCAAAAATAAACAATTTGCACTGACAGGATTCTGTAAAAAGCAAAAAATTTTGCACATCTCGGTGCAACTGAGAAGCCCTGAGGGACTCAGCTGTGACTAACAGTTATGTGACAAAAATTCAGGAAGTTTTCGGCTGAACTGGGCTGAGCTGCAGGCTGTGTATTACACAGAGCGGATAGAAGACAAGGAGGCAAATTAAAAATGTAAGAACTAATTAAAAATAGAAGACTTAGACTTAGGCTTGATGATCCACACGAGAAACTGTTTTATCACAGTAGCAAGCACACAAAATAAAGAATTATATAATAATATACAAAAAATTAATTAATAAATAAAAAGTTAGTTAAAAAAAAATTAAAGTCAGCAGGAAAAAAAGCTTCTTTTTTTGCCAAGTACAGAAAGACAATAATAATAATTTAAAAAATGTAAGTAAAAAAGTAGTTAATATATTTAGAGTATGTAAAGTCACAATTTTCATTCCAGTGACGGGAACTCCTGTGGGATGCTCATTCCAGTTTATTTAAATTTTCACAAACTAATTAACTTCATATCTGTGGTAAAACTTTGTTGTACTGCAGCAAAGTCGTTTTGGAGTTTTTTTTCTTCTTCTAGTCACGTTTGTGCAGCTTTTGTAGAAGTGCAGGACTTCTTATGTCAGTGGAAAATGAGCCCACGATGAGTCAAAATGTAACAGGAGCAAAAATACTTGTGGTCGAGCGGTTTAAGAGAGTAGAGGCCTCAGTAAAAAGAAAAAAACAAGTCTCAGACCACAGAGGGTGAATGTTACACCCCAAGCGTGTTCTCTTACCCTCACATAGGCCACGGGAGCCGGAGGGTGGAAGAACTTGCGGACGATGTAGGTGGTGGCGACGATGCAGAAGACGATGGTGCCGAGGATCTCCTTCCACCAGGGCAGCAGCAGCACCGGGTCCTTCCTCCTGCGAGGGTCGCCGTCCACCCCGGTGCCCTTTATCACGCTGACGGCGCTGTCGCGTTTCTCCCGGTAGCGCTTGCCGTAGGGGAAGTAGTAGCCGTTGTCTGCAGCAAGACGGAGAACAGATCACTCAGCTGCGCCACATTTTATTGGTGCCTCTCACAGTGAACTAAGTGACTGTCCTCTCACCGTACGGATACTGGAGGATGGATAAGGCTCCGTTGCTGTATTCGTCGTGGGAGAACTTGTCGTTGCTCAGACACTTGTCAAACTCGTCGGAGCCGACCAGGGCCGGAGTCCGAGACGGAGAATCTGCGTCAAGGACAAGATGAATGAGCTCTTTGATCGCATTGGAAAAGGACGGATCAATATGGAGCAGCAACCTTATACTACGAGGAATTAAAGGCAAAGCTCTGGGCCACTGGGAGCTCGGGGATACACAGCGCTCATGTGACTTCAAATACTCCTCGGTTTACCTTTGTGCTTAAAACTACAAAGATGAAGGCAGTGTTTGGTCTCTTTGCCCATCAAAAATGTGAGCTCCTTTGGTGCAAACTTACGTATCAGAGGTTTCCATTTGACAGTGGGCAGTGGAATTATATCCTTTTCTGACCCAATGGCTTTGGTGGGGAACTTCCCAGTGATCCTGACTGAAGACTGGAGGTAGAGCTGTCCCTGGTACATCCCTGAGGAACCCGGGGAAAAGGATTTATCCACTATCTGAAGTACTTTAACATGCAACTCACAATCGGATTTATTGGTCAAGTATGTGACGGCATGCCAGGAATATGGCGTTTTCGTACACAAAACAAAACACGTAAGCATTTAAACGAGAACAGGTTGTGGAAGGAAAATAAGTGTTAAGCTACGATGTGCAAAGAGAAATGTGTGCAACAAAGCATGTTTAAAGTGAGGTTTAGTGCAAAAATACTGACACCTGTGGCACCCAAAATGGTCAGAAATTCCAAATAATGAGCCTAAACACTAGAAATAAACCCTAATGCAGCTGTGTGTGAGCTCACCGAGGTAAACACTGGACTCTGCAGCTCTCCGGGCCTTCTCCGGATCATCCTCCTCCTCCTCTTCATCAGTTTCGGACTGGTTGCTATAGCCGGTGTCGTCGAACAGGCTGATCGGCGTGACTTTGCCGCCTCCCACCAGCCAGGCCGAGGCGATGGGGGTGCAGAACTGCGCGACACAGACAAGACGAGATGAGTCGATGCGCTTCGCCGAAACAAATGGCGCAACAATCGATCGACACCTCACCTGACGCTCCCAGACCAGCTGCCCGCCAGGCTCGCTGCTGAAGGCCATGACCTTCCAGTCGGGAACAGACACTTTGATGACGAGGTCCAAATGGTGGTTTTGGTTCTGCTGGTTCTCCTTTTGCTCCCTCTCTCTGGGCTCGTCGGTGATGACCCGCTGACTCTCCTTCCAGGTTTCGCCGTTCACCACGTCTCCCTCCAGGAAGTTGATTCCAGGCTGCATCTCGGGGAGAAGTTTCAGCTCAAAGTTTCCGACACTGAAGTTCCACCTCGGGTTAGAAATAACAAAACACAAAGGAAAACAATATTTACTACTTCAATCAATAAAAGGACGTGTGGGAGTTTGTTTCATTTTCATATTTATGTTATATGTGTGTCTTATTGTACTGTACGACCATCAACAGCATCAATGTGTTTAAAAGGATAAAAATTCTACATATTTTCTTCCCATATTGTGCAAAAAAAGAATCCTCCACTGAATGACGGTAAAAACGGTCACGGTCTGTCAGAAGTGATGAATTAAAATGCCGCATTTTAATGAAGAATTTTCCACTGAACACATCACCAGTTGAACTCGAGCAACTCGGTTTATTGTATCTGATGGAGACAATAAATCTGCAGCAGGCTGCCTCTCTGCCCTCGTCGCTTCTCTAAAGATTATAGTTTAATGGCTCAGACGAGAAAATTCCGATAAAAAGTAAAGACCTCTGCCGACACTCACAAAAAGAACTATGATTAAGATTACGTTCGGTTCGCCGAGTAATGAACTCTACAAGACCTCTGGAGTCGCCCTGCTGCAGGTCTCAGCTATTTAAAGACAACATTTGGTTTTCTTTCTGACAGATAATGCGATGTAATTTAAAGTCAAGCTTTATTTCAATATTCACTGTGTAGTAGAGTTAAAACATGTAATGGAGCATTATCACATGAGACATCATTACAATTTTTATATTCTAAACTTATAGATATAAAATGTGTGCAACATGTATTTATTAAGTCCTTTTAAATCGAATTGAAGATAAACCAAGTATCACAAAAGCTGTGAAAGTTGTAAGATGCAAAAAATAAAGAAATGTCAGGAAATAGCAGGACCTTTCTGTAAACAATCTCACAGTCATTTCTGGCCCAGAAGCAGCGTCTAACTATTGCAGATTTTGCAATCAAGTTTGAAAAAGTGACTTAAAAAACCCCAGAAATCTTGGCTTAGACATATCCTAAACTGTACCCTTTGAGATTTGCACATATTGTTTTAAATTGTGATTTTAAATCTGTAAGTTAAGCTCGACTCTGTGGTATCTGGAACCAAGATGTCTGTTGCCTAGATGATGTTGTCAGTACCTCATGATCTGTTCTATATATATTAAACTGTCACTTACATTATGATATATAAAGCTGAGACAAAAGCAACAACTTAGTAAAATAAAATACCACCAATAAGGAAACAACAGGAACTTTCTGTAAATGTTAAAATAAGTACGTCATCCATAGCTCAGGAGCAGCATCTACCTATTGCAGATAAATATAATAAAATAAATATAAATAAATCTTGGGTCAGACACACTTTGCAACATTGAAGTCGATTAAATGCTCAGCCCTGTAACCTGTGCCATCTGGAATAAGGATGTTAGCAGCAGAAAGTCTCAGAAGGCATGTCACCAGGTCATGATCTGCTTTGTATGTATTAGATTGTCACCTAAAGTCTAAAACATATCAGACAGATCATGACTTGAATCCACTTCGTCTTTCATTTTTTGGCTCATCTGTGTATATTCAATACTAACAGGTAAAGATTTATTAATGTTACCCACAAGTGGTTGAAGGTTTAACCGACTTCGTTTAAAAACTCTGACAGAAAGTCAATCGGGTGTCTGTGATTCTTTCCTGAACTACCACACGAGATGCAGGACGCGCTCCGTGGCTCTGATTGACCGGCCGGCTGACTGACAGTGACGGATCGGCTGATTGAATGAAAACTCACTTCTCCATCCCTGATCGAGGCCTGATGGCTCTGACAGTCTTCTGAGTCCTCTGCAGCAGCAGAACATCCTCGGCCTCCACCTCGTCCTCCCCCCAGCGGCTGCAGCCCCCCGCCGAGCAGATGTAGCGGAGCTGAGCGGAGCAGCAGCAGGGGGGAAATTACAAAACGGGGTTAGTCTGGCGTGCAAGTCGGACGGGTTAACGCGTGGTTAAATTGATTAACATACGAACCTTGCCGGTGTAAGCCCCCAGGCCATAGGTAGTGAGGGATTTGCCCCCGACCAGAACTGTGTCCTCTCCGATGCGGTAGGACGACTCCAGCAGGGACTCCACGCTGAAAGGCACTGCCTCCATACTCTCCCTGTCCCGGTTCCACTGGAACAAGGCACCGTCCAGTGAAGGGATGACCATCTTATTGCCAAACACCTGCAAAAAACACAAATAAAGTTCACCCATTATTGCTAGTGGCCTCTTCTGTCACGTAATAATAAGCACAATAAAAACAAGAGCAAAATATAAGTACAAATACAGCAATGTAAGTGTAAAGAGTAGAAAGCAAAAAGTAGTTATGTGCTAAACATTTGTGTAGCAGCGAGGTAGATCGTAATATTGCAATATGTAAATGGATCCGTATATATTTCATTATATTTCAAAATGCCACATGGTGCTTCAATTTGTGTTTGTTTATATAAGTAAATTGATGCTTAAAAATTCCCCAGGCGGCCATAAATTAGGCATCTGATGCTCTAGCTGTCCCTGCTAATGTGCCATCTCACATATTCAAATACAACCTTGACCAACAGGTGAAAATCTAAGTGTTTATTTGAGGATGTGGCTAAGCCGAGGCAGTAAATGGCGATTTATTACATCGGAGCTATAAAATACATTAAATTAATAAAGCCATACCTGTGTGCAGCGACTTCAAAGTGTTTTACAAGCCGCTTATTAAATGTTTGCATAGCGCTCGTGAATGCAAATACTCCGGGCTGAGGGTAAACTTCTGGTGGAGCCACCCAGAGACGAGCTGCTGCTGCATAAACCCGCCATCACTTCAGCGTTTGTCAACCTGTGCAACACCGCGCAACGCTGTCCTTGGCAAAATATCGATTATGAATTTTTATTATTTCCGTCTGACGCAATGCAACTTCAACACTCGCAAACTGTCCTGGATGCTTCTAACTTAGTTGCAGACAGACAACAACACTTGCCCACGCTGCAGACTACGCCGGCCGACACACATCCGCCTCCACGGCAGCAGCAGCAGCTTCAGCCTCCGCACATTTTGGACTCCATCCACAGACTTGGGACCATTACGCAACCGAGAGCCCGAGTAATTAACCTGGATCCTGATAATAAAGTGTGGATGAAGTGTGTGTGTGTGTGTGTGTGTTCTCGCTAGGATGACATCATTGCACAAACCTGGCCTTAATCCTGATTTAACCTCCACAGCTTTAGCGCTTCAGGAGGAGGGCAATTGTTTTCTTTATTATATAAAGAATAACATCTAAAAAGCACAATTCATCTTTTGGGATGTCCAACTTGTGACTCACTTCTTTTCAACAAACAACAGCAGCTTTTGGACCAATTAGGCATCCCTTGTCTCGCAAAACCCCGTCAACAACCTTTAAAATCCTGTCAGAGTCTTAAAAAGTCAGCTTTGCGGCGGATTAGCCGACGTCCGGCAGGATGATTTACTAGAAAGCAGAGCAGGACAGGAGCAGGGGTGATGTCATCTTTTTGGAGGGAGATGGAGGGAGATGGAGGAGGAGGGAGGGATGATGGTTTGGACTCGAGATGAGGATAAATTTAGCATGTGAAAGGAGGAGGGGTTAACGGCCTGACCATCACATCACACCACGCCGGTGAGGCTGCCGGGGTGCAAAGAGGTTTACAGCAGAGGGGGGAAATTCTCAGAGAGTATGAGTCATCCTGCTGCTGATGCCTTAATCCATGTCTGAGATCGAGGCTCGTGTTCCAGCACCGGTCGGTCCACCTCCACGGTTCTGTTCTGCTGATTTCTGCACTGACTAATGGAGTACGATGTCATACAAAACTCCAGATCAGCAAGAAGTGACTTAAGTAAATTAATAGAGAACTTTTTAAAGGCCGTTTCCCTGGAAATTAAATTCAAGAAATCCATAAAGACAAATCTTTTCAACACTGCCGACAACTCACTGCAAATAATCTGGGACTTGCCAAGATTTAAAATCTTATTTTTAGACACAATAGATAATTTGGCTTGTTTTAAAAGTTATTTACTCATTTTTAGTCCTTGATTTTACAGTACAATCTTAAATTGAGCAGTAAAAATCTTATTTCAAGATTTCTTGTCAAGTAAAATTGACTTGCTGCATGGACGGATAATTTCACTGGTTTTAAGTCATTTTCTTCTCAAAGTTAGTGTTTATATCTTATATTTGGGCGACCCTTTTTTGCATTATTTTCATTTTTCTCTATGCTCCTTTCCCAGTATATTTTATTTATGTTTGTTTTGTTATTGTGTTCTTACCTACACTGTGAAGCGTCTTGAAAAGCGCTATAAAAGTATTATGTATAAGTATGTGTCATGTATTTTTTAAAGTATTTTTAATGTTTATTTTGTGATTGTTTTGTTGTGTGTTTCTTGGCCAGGTCGCCCTTGTGACAGAGGTTCCGATCTCAATGGGTCTTTTATCTGGTTAAATAAAGGTAAAATAAATGAAAAAAACCCCAACATATTATTGTTATTATTATTATTGAACTGTGCACGAGATTGAAGCAAAGTTACAAAAATGCAAATTAGCTAGCTGTTTGCAAAAACCTCAAAAAAGACAAAAACAAAACGTAGCATCTGTGGGAGAAAAGTTTGTTTGCATCATTTGTGATTTTTTTCCCCCCATTAACATATTTTTTTTTTTCTTTCTGATGTGACACTTCAAAATGAAAAATATGATACTGGGGATGCAGATTTCTACGCCGAATGATCGATTGTGTGTTCCTACAAAACTCCAGATCGTCAGGAAGCGGAGAAAATTTACGTAAATTAAGTGCATGCGGAACTTTTTCGGGTCTTGAATAACAACAGTCGCTGCTGCCAGGAAGACAACACCGTGTAACCGTGAGTGAGCCTGAAGCAAAGTTTTGAAATGCTAATTAGGCTCGCTAGCTGTTTGTAAACCGCCAGAAACCTTGAAGAGGTGGCAAACAAAACTTTGGGCATCCAATCTTGCATTTTTTAAAAATTTTGCCATTTCCATTCTGTTCTTTTCCGATGTGATACTTCAAAATGCGCATAAAAGCAGCTCAGTGAAACACGGCTATAGATGCAGCACAAAGTTATTTCATGCTGATTTCTATGTTTTCCTCCAAAAGTCAAGATCGGCAATAAATTAAGCAAATTTAAACGAATCACGCAGCTGTAACGCAGAACTTTTTATAAAGTCTTTCCCTCTTAAATAACACCAATAATCACTCTTTCCAGGAAGTAAAAACCAGCAGCCACGTCTCCATGTGACAGTGAAGCGAGAAAGTTTTAAAATGCAAATTATTTCCATTACGTGCTTTAAAGCGAATAAACTCGACAGCATGGTGTTGTCAGTAAAGGCTGTGTCACGCGCAGCTGCAATAAACTGATTAGAAGAAGCCAGAAGCAGAACTCGTTGTTGGGAAACCAGCAATTTTTATTCTTTTTTTAATCACGTGAGAAAAATTAAAGAGATGTTTTCAATCAGGAAACATGTAAATACTGTTTCCTGTATGCTGATAATCGCTCATGTTTGAAGCAAAGACGGTTACAGAAGCAGCGACAGCAGATCAGTCATGTGTGTTTAACGTTCGCGACGTCAAGACATGTTGGAAAAAGGCGGTTTTAGATAATGTGTATTCGCCGTCTTTGTCAAAAACCACCTTAAACACGTTAAGTAGTTATTTTTTTTCCACAATACTTCAAAATAACACATAAAAACCAGCTATGTAGTTAACTTAAAACTCACTGCAGCCTTAATTTGGTCTCCAGCATCCTGTAACATACTGAGAGATTCATCTGGAGCTAAACGTGTGAACTCCTTTTGGTGTAAATCTGATGAACGTGCACAAAAAATACTTTACCGAAACAGTAATTAGCTGTAGATGCAGCACATGGTTCTGTTTTAATACAGTTTCTAGGCTGACTGATGGATTCTGTTGTCCAACAAAACTCTGGTTCAGAAAGAAGTGAAGAAAAAGTTAAATAAATTCTGTTTTCAGGATATTTCTTCTGTAAATAAATAAAATATTAACAACCACCGACTGATACTCATTCCTGCCACAAAGGCAACACCAATGTTACCTCACTGTATTACATCACACAATAATAAGTGACTCATACAATCAATTTGACATTTTTGCCGCAGTGTGAACAGACAGAAAGTAATCATTTCCTGCTTTTACTTAAAACAAATTCACTCTGATGACAATTTTCAAGTTTCTATTCGACTAAAAGTTGCAGCTTTGCAGCACATTTAATCAAATCTAAGTGTTGCGCTGCGTTTCAAACTATTTCCTGCACGTCTTCAGTGTGTCTTATATTCAACGCTGCCTTCACTTCAGCTGTAAAAACTCTAAAACCTACTGAATGATTAACCGTTTCTCGGTCGTAACACAGCTTCAGCAGATTTTAAAGGCGTCAGATCTGGGCTCAGCATAGTTTCGATTACTTTATGAAGGCTTCGCGGCATGTGGGACGATTGAGTTCGTATTGTTTTCGTATTTTGATTGCTCTCGAACAGCTTAGCGATTGAAAACATCTAGAACACGGTGAAACTAAAAGTTGTTTACAGCTGATGGACTTGAACATTTGACTTTCCTGGCCTGCAGCAGCTGCCTGATACGACGGCTCGTTTTAAAAAATTCAAACTTCTATTACATGTCATTATTTATCCAGAGACAGCTGGACTCAGGTGAGATTTCTTTTTTAAAAAGGATCATAATAAATGAAAAAGTAAAAGACTGATTTGTGTGTGCCGTTACTTCTACACTCAATCCTCGCTGTACATTGATGGAACTGCATGTGTGATGGACATTTATTGGTTTCTGGATGAGCAGAACATCATCCAAAATACAAAACATATCCTCAGCAGACCCTGATTATGGGTCTGTTGGGTAAATCTGATCAATAAAATCTGTCAGTTTTCTGTAGCTGGATTAATGTTGCTTGGAAATTTGAAGGGGGAACAAAAAAAGGAAAGGGAAGGATCCGGAAACCCTTACATGCTTCCCTCGATCAAAGCAAATTAAAAAGGCATCCTTTGATGTCGCTGAATTGTCTGTGATCAATCGCCCACCCCCCTGATCCGTTTGTTTTCATGTCTTTGTCTTGTCTCTTGGTATAAAACGCTCTTTGTTTAGCCTTGTCTTTGCTTTCTGAAGGGATCTTGTTTTCTTTCATACTTCTGTAGGTGAAGATATTC